TCGTTTGTGGTGGTTCATGGTTTAATTTCTCTGGTGATGTTTCCGGTTATGGCTGAGAGGGCAACCCAAACTTGTCTCGACTACGCCGGAAGGTAGTGGCGGGGATCAGGTTAGCTTGACGGTTTCGGAAGCGGCGATTGGGGTCGGTTCTCCTTTATGCCTGCTGAAGGAACCTACGGTGAGCCGCAAAGTCACTCCTTGTAACCGCCGGTGAGCTCGTCGACAGTGCGGCGGTTGCTTTAGTTTCTCTATTTTTTCTTCAATTTCGGCGATTTTTTCATTAGGTTTATTTGTAGCCGGTTCACCTTTTATCTCGGTTTTTCTCTTTGTAAACCTGCTCCAATTCCCGGTTTGGGACGATATAATATAATAAAAAATAAATAAAAGAAAAATAAAAAAAAAAATAAAAAAAATACCACAAAGAAACTTAAAATTGATTTACGATATCAAAACTTAAAAATGTTCTACACAGTTAACAAAATGGAGGTTATACCTCAAATGATAACCAAAGACGAAGCCTCGCAACCGATGAACTCACTGTGTACAAAAAATCACTCTTTGGGGTTTTTGTCGGCTTAGTTTTCTATTGATAAAACAGAGGGTTTATATTGGTTGAGTAAAGGCACATTTTAGCTGATCTCATCAGGTTGAACCGGTATCTGAAAGTCTAATCTTTTGGTTCATTATTAAACCGATTTTGAGAGAATTTTTTTTGTAATGACAATTATTCTCCAATTTTGAAAAATCAGGTTGCGAAATTCAGTGAGATAAATTAAAAAAGAGTAGGTAAACCGTAACTCAAAAATAGTTACATGAATTGGTGGTATATAATTTATTAATTACATATTGTATATAGGTTTGGTTTGTACATGTGCCAATACTAAAAAACATAACAAATAAAAATAATATTAAATAACAAATGATTGCTTTGATGAAGAACAGTTTACATAACGAAGTTAGCATCAATCTCGTTGTTCCGAGGTTTCTTAATACATCAGATAAATAACCTTATAGAAACTGTAACATCCCTATCCCAGGCTCCTAAGAGAGCGGGGAACCAGGTATGTTAGATCGGTCATCGAACCGCGTCCGGTAGGATGTCCAATTTGATGAGCACATAGGATCGCTAGGAAAACGCCCAGGTAACAATCAACAACACAGACTTAAGCTGATTTCTCTACTAAACCTGAAAGACAAGGGGAGAGGAGGGGTGAGTAATTGGGATTACTCAGTGAGGGTGGACCTTAAGGAGGCCCACAACATCATCAAACTAGCATAAATTGGTTTTAAAATATCTAATCCTAAAGCAAGCCCAAGCAACACATATATAGATATAAATTTACTTATATATATAGACAATTCATTCCTAACAATCAATCACACAGCATTCAAGGGTAACCCTACAAACAACTACACAAGCAACGGGTCCCTGGATGCGGCAGTAGTGGGCTGCCACATGGGCCCCCATGCCTCACCCGGAAAGGCAACCAGAATAATCCCATCCAATGGCTGGCCTATTACCATACCCATTAGTCAGGTTCACTCTGCCAGTCACACAGACTGATCCACAGCAATCACCGAGACAGGCTATGACACTAACGGTCACTCAGACGGCTGCTCATAGCGGTCTCACCAGAAAGCTGTACCCAGCGGTCCCTTTGGACGGCTCAATAAACAGTGGATCGCTAATCCACTCCAGCGATGGCTCTAGTCGTGCCTCACACGACAGCGATAGCCAACAAACAACACTGACTCCTGCCTCCAGGAGCCAGGGGTCCTATCAGAGATCTATATGCACAATCATCCATTTCAAAGAATCATCCATTTCTTAAAGGTCCTTCCATTATTAAGATGCACTTTCGGTGATACCAATTGTAACAAAAAGGAACATTAATCAGGTCAACATCACACAACCAATATTTTAAAGTCCAATAAGTTTAGATCCAAGTTCAGGTTAATTATCTCATTCCACCAGCAACCAGCAATCATCAACAAACAGGCAACACAGATCCAGGTCCTAACAATTCTAACAACCCTAACAAGCAGATCTAAGCCTGATCTAAGAAAAGATCACTTAAAAGACAACCATGCATATGTAAGAGAGGATGAAGCCACAGAGCCCTCACCTTGGCTTAGAAGGCTGAGAAACTGGAGGAGGAGGCAGAGGAGAAGGAGATCTAAGAGGAGATCTATCAGAATCAGCTCCCATCTCACCCAAAGGAGAAGGAGGCGGCGCAGACATCACAGCTGGGCAAGGAAGCTTCGGCGGCGAGGGAGGCTTGGAGGATGGCGGCGGCCGCGGCAAGGAGAGAGAGAGACACGGCCAAGAGAGAGAAAGAAGAAGAAGAAAACGCAGAGAGAGAGAGGAAGGGAGCAGCTCGGCGCAGAGAGGAGAGAAAGAGAGAAGAAAAAAGTGGCTAGGGTTGATTAGGAGCTTAATGAGGGTTTTAGGGATTTAATTAGGTATTTATATGGAGGTTAAATAGATGGGCTGGGCTTAATGGGCTCTTAGAAAGAAATTAGGAAAAGCCCAAATAAAAAGGAAATAAATAGAAAAGGAAATAGAGATGGTTTAATTTAATAAAACCAGAATTAGGAACTGGTAACATCCGATATTTAGTTAACTAAAGTCGGGATGTTACAGAAACGGTACAGGCATTTAAAAGAACATACTGTGGCCAGAGCCGTTCCCAGCATTTCATAGACCCTAAAGAATTTTAAAAAAAATTCTATAATAAATAAATTTTTAATACCATTATAATTTAAAAAAAATAAATATTCACTTTTAGTCCATATAATAGTTTAAATATCATTAAATTAAACTTTTTTGATTAGTCCCTGCGGCAGGCATTATCCGGGAACGATTATCGGAAGCCTACCGTAGACCCCCACACAAGACAAAGTTCACTAATAACAAAACTGTATAGGAAAAACTATATTTTGATACACCAAACTCTTTTTAAAGCAAATGTAACATAATCCTTTATTTTTTCTGAAAATATAACATAATATACGTTAAATATTATAATTGATACAATACTTTTTGCAATTGATAAAGCATTACGAAATTAAAAAAAAAATCTTAGTGATATTTTTAGAATGAATTATGATGAGGTTCTACATATAGTCAATTTTTAAAAAATATATAAATTTTTTTTCTATTTAATTAAAAGTCAAACAAAATGAGATATTGCATAAAATAGAAAGTATAAAAATGAATGATGTTTTAATTATGTTGAATTTGATCTATGTATAATAATTTAGTAGACTTATCACTATAACTAAACTTCAATATCAAAATACAGCTCCAACAAAAATTGTTCAAAAAGGTCTCTAGGTGAGTATTTACATTTTTTTTTATCTAGGCACGGCCCTGACTGTGGCGTCACCACGTCCTTCTAACCTAATTTTGGATCTCTTCCTAGCAAACATTCCATATGGAGTGTAACTCCACATTCATTGCATGCATATCATATAATCCTCTTTTTCGATTGATACCTTCCTCGCATATCTCACACCAATAACCCTCATCATCTATATCTCTTTCATAAGAAAAAGTGAGCAAATGTTCATCATGCTCATACCTCGTCTTATGTGTAAGCGTGGCGCAATGAAAACACACAAAAATATTGCATTTGTTACAAGCTAGAGGATCTCTCGTAATCAAGGGACATATGGAACAATGTTTGGCTAAATACTGTTCAGAAGTTAAGAACAAATGATGTGGATGAGAGTGATGGTCAAACGGCTCACTTATAGAAGCACAAAGTGTGTCCATCTTCCAATCACACCGTTTGATACCATACACATATTTGAAACCACTGGAAGTACGATAACATTATCTACAATAGAACCATTCTGGACTGCATTGTAGAGTCAGTGGATGTAAATGTAGCATGAATTGCTTCACACGAGGAAGATGTGCACATGGTTCGTGGAGAAAAAAATCACATTGAATGCACTGATAAACATTATCATCAACATGAAAAGGAAGTCTGCACGCTTGAGAATACTTGGTTTCACCATACACTCTTTGGATATTCTTGTCAAGGCGCATTTGATGAAGTGGACGACTCAGATGTCGTATAATCCCATTACCCTCTTCCTCAAACATTTTCATATTTTCATATACTTCTTCAGGCTCTCCTTCATATTCTTTGCCATCACACACATCCCTCCGCATTGCACATTTAGAATGAACTGCATAAGTGCATCCTTTTATGCAAGAGTATTCCTCGTACTTTTCTTCTATCTTTGCATGACAAACTCCACAATCAGTCAACTCTTTGTTAGGAAGAGTAGGGTAAAAGTGAGATGATGAATGTGACGCGACACTTTTATAACATACGGTAAGTAAACACACTGTTTGTGGACAATGAAATCACATAGGAGACATACATATAAAGAATCATTATTGTCTTCAAGCCCACAAACATCGCAAACCAAAACGAATCTCCTTGGAAAGTAATGGAGGGTATGCTCATGCCTTTTTCGATTGTCTATTGTAAGGGGTTTTGGGATTTTGGGATTTTTGCACAAATAGGACGGATCATATATTCACAAATAGAACAATAGTAATCTATTATATAATGGGAGAGTTTTCTCTCCTCTTAAGGTGTCCACATCAGTACTCTTTTTCTTATTAAAAACGTGAACAGAGCCTATTAAAAACAAAACTCTTAAAAACGTGAACAAAATCTTTCTTTCTTCACCGTCTCCATCGTTTTCTTCAACCTAAACGTAAGCTCGTCAGGGAATGCTTATCGACTGTTGTTCAACGAATTCAAAGGTAATTAATTTTGAAAATAACTTCTTCCCCCACTATCTTCTAATATGATGTTAATCTTCAATTCTAAAACTCTTCGCCTTCCAATCATCCACCTCCTTCGTAGCCGTAACAGTAATCTCTCAGACTGTATATATAAATTAGCCCCTCTTCCCCACCTTAACCACAACTACACTGCTTCATCCTGTAAAAGAAACCCAAATCAAACTCCAAAATGGCTTCAATTGATTTTGTTGCAATCCCAGCTGCCGCTAACTATGTCACATTCGATGATTTACGCTTAGGTCGCTCTTCTCAGGAAATTGTTGGCCGCCTTCTCCGTTTCTGGGATGCGAAGAATATCAAAAAAGATGGGGAGTTCATGGGCATCGTCCTCCTCCTGTTGGATGAGAAGGTCGTATATGTCAAACATTTTTAACTCATTCATGCATCTAATATTAAATTTTATATCACTGCTAATCATTTGTAATTATTTCTTCAGAACTCAGTCATACATGGATTCATACCAGCTGTCCGTGCAAGCCAATACCGTCAGCAGTTACGAGAAGGCCTCATCGTCAAACTCACCGACTTCGAAGTGGGCCGATGCACAAACCTTTACAAAATCACAGACCACCCTTTTGTGATCCGTTTTCTACCTGGGACCACAATTTCCGACGTCTCAGATGTTGGGCGGTCAATTGCAAAAGAAAAATTCATGCTACGGAAGCTAGACCACCTCCAAGCTTTGGCAAACACCAATCTTGAACTTCCTGGTAAGGCCTACTACAAAATAATTTACAACATGTTACCAATCTCAAATTCACACATGTAAACACACATATTGTGCCCGTACAGATGTTGTTGGCCAAATCCGTTTTGTTCAAGGCTCCAACCTAAGAGACGCTTCTTCCACGCAACGTCTGGTCGTCCGATTCCAAATTGATTCGTAAAACATCTAACCACTTTTGAAATTATACATTTGATGTAAAGGAAATAGATCTGCAAACTGACATTTATAACCTTCGATGCAGATCTGTTACTGTATCTCTTTCACTCTGGGATGACAACATTGAAATTGACGATGCCTTGATGCTTCCAGAAACAAATAATCCACTAGAGGTGCTATGTCAATCAGTCTTTCCATATTTTGGAAAAGCATACCAAGATTTGACCAAGCTTCGAGAATCTGCTATTTTAACACCACGGAATGAAACGGTCGATGAAATCAACGCTTATCTACTATCTAAAGTACCAGGACCACAGAAAGAGTACTTAAGCGGTGACAGTGTTGGACAAGATGAAGCATATGCAGGAGGTTCAGGGGAAGAAGAAGAAAATGCAGGAGGATTTGAGATGACTTATCCTTTGGAATATTTGAATGCATTAGAGTTCCCAGGTTTACCATCACATCGGCTGTGCCTAAAAGTTGGTGTTCCAATCAGGCTTCTAAGAAATCTAAACCCAAAAGAAGGGTTATGCAATGGAACAAGGCTTATTGTCACTCGACTGGGAGAGAAAGTAATCGAAGCAGAGATACTTTCAGACCAAGCAGAAAGAAAAAAAGTGTTGATCCCTAGAATTATTCTATCCCCTAGAGATTCTGAGCATCCATTCACTCTAAAACGGCGGCAGTTTCCAGTTCGAATTTGCTATGCAATGACTATTAATAAAAGTCAAAGACAAACCTTGAACACAGTGGCATTATATTTGCCTAACCCCGTATTCACCCATGGGCAATTATATGTCGCCTTATCAAGAGTCACTTCACCAAAGGGTCTTACAATCCTAGACACAACAAAAAACAACAGATGGAGAAGATATGTCACAAACATTGTCTACAAAGAAGCATTCAGAGATCTGCCAACAAGTTCAGGTACGTATTCTGTTAAAAGCAATTTAGTGACCAAATAATCACAAGAAAACAGGTAGAGAATTAAGTTGAAAAGGATGCCGAACAATGTAATATACATGTAATGATTGCATAGGAACTCTTATATAGAGTATTCAACATTTCATGACAAAACGATGTTTCCAAACAAACTAATTCAACATAAACCCAACAGCAACAAACGTATATTACACAAAACTAACAGAATCTTACCATCAACGAACACTATTTTTCAGGGAGGATTGAGAAAACGAAAATGGCGCAGAGAGGAGAAAGTACTCAGGCAAATGTCTTCCATCTCTCAAATACAGAGTGTCTAAATCGGTCCAGATAGAAAAAAGAGAAGATAAAGGAGAGGTAATAGTGGACATACATCTCAATAAGATATGACTATTAACCAGGATGGTGAAACAAATACATATGTAATGAAAATTTGCAGGAACAAAGACAACCACAAATAACATCGGAGATAAAAAGAGGAAGCGAGGGACATATTTATGGAGGAGCAAAACACACAAGCTACAGATCAGATGTTCTCGCAATTGTTGTTTAAATTTAGCAAATAAGAGTAACAAAACAAAAAAAAACATTTGGACATTTTTTAACGAAACAAACATACATGAATGTTGCGGAAGTAATACCACTATTAATTATTAAGAACCACAAAATCAAAGATCACAACAACAAATTTACAAAACAAATAAAGCATCGTAGAAGAAGAAATTAAAGGAATAACAATTACCGCAATTAACAATGTGGGTTTGAAAGGGATTTGCGAAGGCTTTTAACAATTACCGCAATTAAGAATGTGGGTTTCAAAGGGATATGCTAAGGAAAAGCCACAATATTTACAGACAAACAATGAGTTGCAGCGAGAGGTATCTAATTTGGGATATGTAGCAGAAGAAAATTGAACTTCAATTTCGGACGTATTTACCAACAAAATCGGTTCAACTATTTTGGGAATCATGAATATAAAGGGGAAAACAATGAAACCTGTTCTAGACACTTCGACAAATATCACCACTTTTTTTTTTGGTCAACGATATTACCAACTTCTGTTTACCAAATTAATTAACAATCAACATAAAAACCCTGCGCGCAGCGCGGGAACGATCCCTAGTATAGTATAATGTATGAGTATAGTTACTTCCACAAGAATGACATCCTTATATTACTAAAGCACAAGTCACTTCACAATTAAAAGTTGACAAATGGCAAATAATCATAAATTAAAGCCACAAAATTATATATAAAAATTTCTAAAAAAAATCTCTAAATTTTCTCATTCAAAGCCACGATTTCACGATCTTTGAAACGGTTTCTATTTTCTATATCATAATCTCACGAAGAAACTGTAATTCAATCTCATCATGATTTCAAACTGTTTCATGTTTCCTTTCTCTATCTTCTTCTCCATCAATCTATCTTTTGTTTCTCATATTCACCTTTATCTTTTGGTTTCTAATCTCTGTTTACGGTGCTCTATTTTGCATAATTTCTTATGTGACAGAGAGATAATATTCAAATTTCTGTAAAATCGGGTAAAGCACGAAATGCAACTAGCAAGTGCTCAAGCTTTTTGACAGACGGAGAACGGTAACAAAGTACTGATCACGCAAACTTCAACAAAAAAAAACTTATTGAATTTTTGTTTTCTAACAGGAAGCATCAAAGAGAAAAAAGTTATGGGACTCATGGTAATATTTTACACACACGGGAGATCCAACAATAGAAAGCTAGGATGATTATCTAATTATAACTCCCTTCTCGCATCTCAGCGCAATTATCTAATTATGTTTATCTCTTGAAGGTAGGATGATTATCTGAACAACTATTATGACATAAACAATGGCGTGGAATAGAGAAGACTATTCCCCCGGCTGGCAAGTAAAACAAGGATAACACCAGCAAAGAATGACATCTGTCTATGTTGTATCTTAGATAACAAGCAAAATATCAAGAAATGGCTAATGGCAAGATTCATTCATCTCTCTCATGCAGCCATACGTCTCTGTCTATATATCTCAGTGGTTGGTTCTGCTCCCAACTTAAAATTGTTTTTTGTGTTAAGGGTTTGTGATGTAATAATTCCCCTAAAATTCAGATCTGTAAAACAGTTGGTATAAAATAGAAAAAAAGATATTTCATGGAAAGAAGATGACTCAATGTGTGTTTGAAGACTCAAGAAAACATCAACTTTAATTGTGATATTTCAAGTTCAATTTTTCACTCTTTCATTGTTCTTTAATTGTTCCTTAATATTTTAGTTCCGTACGAAGTACGGGTTCTAATACTAGTTGTGACTTATAAATTGTGGTTCCGAATAACCAAATAAGTTAAAGAGGATGTTTTGGATGATGAGAGGAATGAAACATGGAGGGAGACTCAACACATTCTTTGTGGTAGTCGAATTTGCAATAGTTACAACTTAAATAATAGAGATTACCTATTATTAGCTTTTGAAGACAAGAGCGACAAAATTTGCAACTGTCTCTGTCTTCTTCTTTTTCGTTGCAACGGAACAAGAAATGACGCTGACTGTGGTTTTCGTATTTAGTATCAGCAACTAAATGGGAACTACTGACTATGTAATAGAGGTTTCCAAGAAATTTTATAACTTTTGGGATTTTTATCTTGACCATATCGTTCTCGTGGGCATACAAGACTACAAGAAGAAATGTGGTTGAGAGGTTCCATGGATTATTCAACTCTAAAGAAATTTTCTTTCTTTTTTTTTTTGGTTGGGACAAAGTTGGGTTTAGCTGTGACGAAAATTGATCAAGTTATACAAATATATATACAGATCTATTGGCCAATTATTTTAATTTTTTACGAAGACAACATTCCACGCTAGGTTTTGTAATTGATGTTCATTTCAAGAATTCGTTTCTTTTTAAAATGTTGCCTAGTTTTTAGTTCTGAGCTTCTTTTCTTAATTATTGTCTTACTTTAATAGAAAAAGAAAGTTTTTGAGGGAATCAAAAACATTATATGTTCTTTTCTTGACTAAACTGATAACTAATTTTTATCTTCTTTTATAGGTAACCAATTTTCCTTCTCTTCTGTTCTGTTATACTACAATGAGTAATAGTAGTTAGTTAAGGGAAATGTCAGTTAAGAACGGTATCTCATTATAACATTAATTAACTTTTGACCCAGAAAACAGATGCACATGCAAAAATCTCACTTTGGATTTATGATGGGCTGAGAGATACTATAAGGCCCATTTTAACAGTACCGGTATACGGTTATACCGGTTAAGGAGTACACCGAATCTGACCGTCAAATCTTCCCGGTTTAATTTAGAGGTCATAAAATTATTGACAGTCCTTTGACCTTTCCTTCTTCTCCATTGTTGAAAATCAGTGAGATCAGATCCATCAAGTGTGAAATTAGGGTTTACTCGATTCGGTAACCAAAGGTTTGAAATTCTCGTTCGTCACTTTTAATTTGGATTCAAAATCGGAAGGATCTAAGGTTTTTGATTTTCGGATTTCTCTCTCTCTCTTTTTGTTTGTGTAGAAATGGATTGGCAAGGGCAGAAACTGGTGGAGCAGCTGATGCAGATCTTACTGGTGATTTCCGGCGTCGTCGCGGTGGTTGTTGGCTACGCGACGGAGTCGTTCAGGACGATGATGCTGATCTACGCCGGTGGTGTCGTTCTCACGACGCTGATCACTGTTCCTAATTGGCCTTTTTACAATCTCCATCATCTCAAATGGTTAGATCCAAGCGAAGCCGAGAAGCATCCCAAACCACAAGTTGTCGTTGCTTCTTCGAAGAAGAAATTCTCTAAGAAATAAGTCTGTATCTCTCTCTCTCTCTCTCGATGTTGTTTTTATAGGAATTGTTTCTATGAGATATTCTAAAATCGGGATCTTTTTGTTATGAATTGAATTTGTGGAGTTTCTGTGTCGATTCTTATCTATCTCTTTTCTTCTTCACCATGTTGTTTAGTCTCTGAATTTGATGAGGTCATTTAGGCTCATTCAACTGATAAATGTAGAGACATTCATCAGAGATTCTTAGCTGAAACTCTTTTTAATTCTCGTGGTAAGAGACTCAAATAATTGATAAGAATCATCAAAAACGATAGAAATCTGAAAATGCTACACATCCATTGCTCCTAGTCATGTACTTGAAGCACAATGGGTTTTGTTAATTCTGAATGTGTATCTATAAATTCACAAGAACAGTGGAAATCTATTATAAATTGAGTAAACAAAAGTCTCTCTCTTTTCTTTTTGGAAACCTAAATTTCTCTTGCATCTCTCTTTCAAATGGTGTCAACTAATGTTGGATTCAAGTGTTTGGACGGTTTGTTTTGCTTCGTCTATCCTATATTCTCACTCTTTTATGCAACTTTTTATATTTATTGGATATTGTCATATTGTACAAATTTTCCTATAATCGGTTAGCCAAAACAACTTACAAAGTGAAATTATTTCACATTTCTTATGTAATAGTAGATATTGGGTTTTGTTATAGTGTATGTGAATATGATCAATTTCAAGAGGAACACAAATCCAAAAAGCAAACATGAAGAACTTCACCATCAAGTTCATGAGAATATATGTCTAACTAAGCCATCAGAGTCTACACATCGAAATTCATCGATTCAAAAGTGTATACTCAAATCACATAAACATACCATGCAAATAATCATGAAATCGTGTTAGGCGATTGTGAGTTGAGACCTCACGTAGTGACGACGAAAGGCAGAGGAGATAAGCAATATCACACTGGAAAGTTATTAAATCTAGAGAGGTGTGCGTTGTAGAGTTTGATGAGAATGAGATCGATAGGTAATGATTAAAAAACGCTTTTCCATTTTCTTATCCTTCGGGTTTTTGATATTTATTCACTTTTGTAAGTTGCCTTAGTTTTTTAATATTTTATAGAAGTATTTGCAAAACTAACATTTTCGATACTATACACAAATATATTTGCCGATTTTGACTATCAAAACTACAACGTATTGAAACCACCATCGAAGTTGTCGTCTGTAGGTGAAGAAGATGTTCTCCATGGTGTTCCTCCCGTGTCGATTCGCTTCTGTGAGTGTATCACCAACCGGGTGGTAATGATCTTCACATGCTCTTGTGGTGCAAAAATCCACCTCCGAGCCTATAGGGAGAGGTTTTATTTCTGTCGCAAAGAACCCCATGTTGTGGAGGAGCCGGACGTGGAGCTCGAGTTCGGGCCACTGGTGGAAGTGGTGGCACGCAGAGAAAATTAAGGTGGGTAGAAAAGTTCATTACGTGTTAGGCAAATGCAGGGATTGTTAGACCGGTTGTTTCTTCGTAGGCAGTGATGATAACTTTGGATCTTTCGAAGCCGAGTTCGAGTTTTTGAGGACGTGCGAATAGACTATAACGAGTTTGTGGTGATAATGTAGAAAGGTAGCATCACATGAGGTCTCGTGAAGATAGAAATAGAGAAAAGCTTTAGCATTGCTCTTTAAACTCTAGTTTCAGTCTATTTAAATTATAAAAACTAAAGCCAAAGACAATAGTGTCTAGTTTTGCCCTCTTTTGGATGAGGTTTTGTTCTGGATTTGTTATGGCAGATTTTTCAGAAAAATACTAATATCATATAAATATTTAGTCGGTTTAAAAAAAACTACAACGTATTGTGTTATGTATAATATGCGCACTAATCAAAACAGAAAAAAAAGACAAAATAATATTATTACTTAGTAAATATAACAAAAAAAACAAAAAAAAAAAACAAATTAAGAAAATTAAGATCATTTGTGCCAAAAAAATGAAAAATAAGTTGTTAGTGTCTGGTTAAACAACATTTATGGTTAAACAAAAACAGATGATTAATGAATGAGATTATAGTTTATGTTTCATAACCTCCAAAGTCCAAAAAGGATCAAGCTGCTGATATGGAAATCAAATATATGATCAGAGATTGGCTTGTTGAGTGTCCTCAGCCGCAGAACACTATGATCATAACTGGAGATAATGGATTCAAGAGTCTTTTGATGAATTGGCTAGAGCCAGACACTACACTCTTGTTGCCTTGCGCAACATCAAAGGTCAAACTACTTCAGCTAACCTGACAATGTAAGGAAAAAAAAGTGATCGAAGCAAAGACGAAAGAAGCATTTCATAACTTCAAGCATATTTTTCTCTTCAAATATGGTAGAGTGAGCTTGGAAAAGCAAGACGAAAAAATGTCAAGTTTGTGATATTCCATACATCATCAAGAGTTTTTTTTTTCCTTGAAATGTGATATTATTGATAAAAAAAAAAATTACAATGGTAAAGAAAACATCAAGAGTAACATACATAGTCCATAGACATAGGTTAAGTATAACCAAGACAACATTAAGCTAAGAGCCCATATACAATATAGTAGCCCACTAAATGAAACAGCACTTCCCAGACTAGATGCGGTCTATAGGCGATTTTTCATTAAGGATAACTTGCTTAAGAATTGCATATTGTAACCAAATGCTTTTTGTTTGTCAACACTTCTTCGTTTTTAATGGTGTTTTTCACAATAGAGGCTGATCTTTACAAGACTGATTGATTCATTAGATAAGATACTATATATATTTACAAATTAGAAGACACGTTTACTTGATCCGGTTTAAATGTAGAACATTGAGTAATCATCATTTTGTATTACGCTTTGTTGAAACATTGCAACATTGAAGCATTTTTTGGGATTGACGAATATATTTATCTGCTAATCCTAGGACAATGAGAAAATTGTCGTATAAATGTAAGCAGGTACAACAATATATACACTTGCAATACAGGGGAAAGAAGGATAATAGCACAATATACATCTATATACCAACTCAAAACCAGTGAAGAAAAAAAATGAACAACGGAGCGAAAAAAATTACAGAGCAATTGCTAATTATTTGATAGTTTTATGTACTTAATCTAAGCTATCATACAAAATTTCTAAGTTTTTTTTCCCTAAATTAATAAATGAGGTCACAAGGTCAAAAGTCAAAACTAAAAACTAATCGACGGCTAGAAAAGAGCGATCTTTTGGCGTGGCGTGTGGGAAGCGGACACTGTTGATGGAGACGGCAACTAGCATTAGCAAACACGAGACGTCGCCGTTTAGGGACAAATCCTCACCGGAGCGAGAGCGACTCTCCTTTCTATCTTTTTCTTTTGCTTTCTTTTTAGTTTGTCAACAAATACGTGTTTTTAAAGTAATTGTCTTTGTTTAATATTTGTATCATTCCATTTCTTAAATTATATATGCTTAGAATTGCCAACTGCGCTATAAGTTTTTTGTTTGTTTTGCTAAAAACTACGATATAAACTTAAACCTCAATACATTCAAAAAATGGATTCTATGGAAAAACCATTTTTAAATAATTATTAATTTATTACCTTTATCTCTAACTCCCAAAGAATCAGATTTCACATGTTTCTGTAATTTATCATGAAAGTATCTTTAATTGTATCGTTCTTTTTTTTTATAAAACCTTAGCAACCGTAACATGTACTATTTAGTTAGTGTTTGTTATCATGCTATATAATTTACTGATTCTATTGAATCATTTTTTAGCCATGTTCTTAGAATAATGATCGGCTATACACTTATACCTTTAGAACTATCAAATCTACTATTTAAAAAAAAAATGAAAACTTGTTTATAAAAGATCTAATATATATAATTTATTAAAGATCTATACTTTTATAATTCTTATAATTATATATAAAGAGTACATTCCTTATTCTTTTGATTCGAGCTACTATACCATTTTATTCAAATCGGCTTTAAATATGATATAATATAACAATTTAAAATTTGTTATTACAGAAATATCGTGATATAGTTTGTTTTATATAACTCAAATTTTTTTTCCTTATTGGATTAAAAGTCTACTACATAAAGTAACTCCTTGTGTGCATATGTGAAGACACACGCATATGATAAAGTTTTTTCTTTTTTCAGCCAGCAAAAAAGTTTTCTTTTTGGCGAAAAAATGTTTTTTAATTAAAAGGCCGAATTTTTTGACTTTGAATATCTGCAAAAAAAGGTAGGTCCCATCAGTTGCTGACTCGAACTATTCCTCGGGACCACTTGTAAAAACCGACACGTGTCTTATCTTTCGAGACAAGACAATATATAACCTTAGATATCTTTTAAGCCGATATGAGCCGTATAAGCTGTCTCCTTCAACGGGTATTAAGAATCGTATAATCGTATTCGAGTTTTTTTTTTATTTTTTAATAAAGATTTTCTCTAATTTTGTAATTAATTATTTTATTGTATCTAGTTCATGCTCAGTTTACTACACTGTCAGATGAAAACTGACTATATAAAATAAACTATTCAGAGAAGATTTGCAACAACTCTAAATTTCCTAAATTAGAATATTAAAAATTTCCAGAATTAAAGCTTTGAAAGGGACCATTCTTAACGATCACATCTCTTAGCCAAAAAAAAAAAAAAAAAAAACGATCACATCTCATATTTTCTTATTGACAAATTAATGTGACTTCAAAGGCTTTATATGGTTATCTTCATCAAATAAAATAGACAGTCATCTTTGAATTCGGGAAATTGCTTTTAAATATTATTTGATATTTGGTATTTGATATTTGGTATTGGTATATATCGATTTAGTGTGCATTTGATTTTCTACAGGCGGACCCCCAAAAACACGGGTGTCTAAGAAATTTTGGAATACAAAAATACTATTTCTGTAAATAATTACATTGAAACTGTCAAATTTAAAACTCAACTAGAACATAGCAACATGTGAGATTTGTAATGGTTTGGACAAAAATACTGTCCATATTGTAATGATGAATTTTTTTTTTTTTTTTGGGGGCTTCCACTATTTTCATTTTGTCGGACTAGGTAAGAACAAACAATCTATTATTTTGTGCTAGATTCATGTTTCGTGTTCTTCCACAACCCAAGTTATTTTTTGGCTCGCCAAGCTTTTTCCTTGATAGTTGGCCAATAGCAAATACTGATTGTTTGTTTTTTCTCAACCTTACTAATTAAATTAAAAAGCCCTGCACATCATCATTTGGGATCTTTTGATATTATTTTATTATGAATGCTGGTCTACCATCTAGAAAAGACAATCTAAATACATCCGATCAAATGGCTATGGACGAAATTTATGACGGTTAGCTTTCCCCACAACAGAAAAATTCACAACTGTAGCATATGAAGTTGTACAGTTCCATCTGCAGCATGCTGAAATCTCTTATAATCTTGCATCCATAATCTACAACCTATTGTATTTATTTAGGATTTAAACGTTAGATTTGGTATATATATTTATTTTTTTTTGGTCGAACTAAGTTTGCATTCAAATCAAATGAGTTTTGCCTCTACTAAGAGAGGATACACAAGGCTACATGGAGCCAAACAAACCAAACCAACAACCCACAGATTGGTCGAGGTAATAGTAAAATTTAAACAACAATAACAATTCAAAGAAAGACATACAGATAGAGGGGAGTTCATAAGCTCAACCCAAGTAGCTTCTAAACAAAGGCAGCGCAAAAAGAAAACTTTTTTTGCTTAACCGTCTTGATCGATGAAACCACAAAAAGGAGGGATCCAAGCCTCCGGTGGCGTTAATGCTAAATCGTCAACAACATCAAGTGCTAAACGAAAGACAATTAACATCTTTGTGCCTGTTCTAAGCAGAACAACCTTCAAGATAATGCTCCCTGTAACACTCAAAACAAGTGAAATATTTGGGAGGAGAAAAGACTCCAAAATGGAGAAATCAGGACTATGAAAGTCCAATCGGACCAGATTCACTAAAGGGATGCAACAAACAACAGTTTTCTTAGCAATCTGCCACAAAGAAGAAAACAATATCAAAGCAACCCCCATCAAGGCGAAAACGGAATAGAATCTGCATACCGCAGTAAAGGAACGCACTGGTGCGTTATGGTTGAATACAACAAGGACACTGTATACCACAGTAAAGAGACTGCATAGAGCAGTAAAGCATCGCACCAAGTCGACAATGATGCCACTACTGGGCAGAAGAGTGGAACCGAAAGATAAAGAATCCATCGGAACATAACAAGCTAAATCCGGATTCCACCAAACCAGAGCAATATAAATAGTACGATTGAAATAATTGTTTAGTGGTCAGAGGTCTAATGGCTTATGGCTTCTATACTGTCTACATCATGTACCATAAAATGTAGTTTCTAGAGATTAAAGTTTATCGAAGACATCAAAGTGTTGAAAGTTAATTCGTTTGTCGTGGTCTTGAGTTTACAGAAATTTTTCTATCGTTTGCTGCATGTAAAATCGTTCGTTATAGAGTTGCATCGTGGATGGGGCTTTGTCTCCGGATGGATTTCTTTCCATGCTGGCTAATGGCTTGAGCTCTGTTTGTAGTTTTGAGTGTGCGACTCAATTTCTAATAATAAGATCAGATGACAAAAAAAAAAAGAGTTGCATCGTGGAGTGACTGTTTGTGTAGTTGTTCATCATAATAGCATGTGCTGCATGTAGTTAAGTTTGATCGATTAATCATCATTTAGTTGATCACAATTATTCAATCGTACTTTTTGTTTGGAGTCATTGTTTGTAAAATTGTTCTTTTATGCATGTAGTTAAATCCTTCTCCTGGTTACAATTAGGCTTTACTCAACACCTATCTTAATTGGGCTCTTTTGGTTGGAAATTACGAAAGAAAACAAGTAAAAGTATGAGTATAGATATTTTCTTAAGATCAATTATTTCATTTTTCCAGGATGCGGATAAATTAAAAACCATGCAAAAGCATGAATCGTCACGTAGTAATGTTAGCTGAGCGGTGCATCGAAATGCAATACACTTTATTGGTTCTTTTCGGTACAAATTGACTATATATATTGTTTTATTTAGGCATAAGAACCTACATAATGTGATCATTATGCTTTATAGCTTTTAGTTAAATAATTAAACCCAAGATGCTTTGCTATTTTAAATAGAAAAGAAAGTATCATAGAGATCCTACGATCCTCAGTGTTATTTGCCGAGAGAAAGTGAAACACAAAACGCAAGTGTTCGCCACCAAATAAAAATTAAAGGGAATGCAAACATAACTTTATACTAAAAATCAACAAAATACCAATAAAAATTTAACTAAAGCGTATCGAAAACCAAGGCACAATCAATAAATTAACGCATATTAGCTATGACATTTTCTTATGCACATCGAGAGATACGCATTAGTTACTTTTTAGTGATGGATTTGATTTCGGTTTAAATTTTCGGTTTTAATTAGGTTGGCCCGCAACGACCTGTCTCGCGAAGCCCGTGTGATAAAAAAACAAGCTCGCGAATTTCACACAAAAAAAAAAACTTAGGCTTTTGTGATTAAAATAATATTAGCAAAACTAAAAACATGCTCACGAATTCTATATTGGGAGAGGGAGAAGAATACTCGAAGACATGGTGAACTTTCCTCAGCCTTCTTCTGCATTATCAATGTCCAAATTCAATTAAGTTCCATCAGAACCGCATGAGATCATTCATACAAATACAATGAGAGTTTTAATCATTTGCTTTAATTTATGATCCAATTGAAAACGACTATACTAACTTTGGACTCTCGGTTTTTGAAATTCTTTTCTTTGTAAACATACATTTATTGTATGAAAAGGTTTTTTTAGTTTGAATAAAAATTTACATCGAATTCAAAAGAAAAAATAACCTTAAATGAGAAAATTAGAGTTTTAAAAGGCTTTACCTGCGGAGATGATGCAGTTAAACTCTGAATCTAAGAGGCCTTGGTTCGCGTTGGACAAAGTTCAGTTAGTCTCAGTTTTAAACATTTGGATTTGATTCGGTTAAAATTTTTGTAGTTTTATTGTTATTGTAGTAACTTTCTTTAATGTTTGCTAGTAATTATTACTCCCTCTGTTCAGAATTATTTGATGTTTTAGAAGGTTTTTTTGTTTAGAATTATTTGATGTTCTCACTTTTCAATACAAAATTTAATGAATTTTTATAGTTTTTGACCTTTTATATTCTGCAGATTGTCTTATTATTGGCTGAATGATATTTAAATGAATTATAAATAATATTTTTAGTATAGAAAAAATAAAAATTAAATGAATCTTTAAACTGTATGCAAAAACCTTAAACATCAAATAATTCTGAACAGAGGAAGTATATCCTAGTGTGTATATATATATATATATATATATTGTTTTTTGTAAAGAGCCTTCAAATAGTTTTTGTTGTTATTAAAGCTAGTTTAAGATAGTTTTTAATTTTTGGCCGGTAGATTGACCAAATTTATGCATTTTAAAAGGTTTAGACAAAACTTAATTTAAGATATTTTAATGGATATTTATTGTTGAGTGTTAGCTTAAGTTATAATTTATAAATGCACTCGATCCAACTTGGTATATGCACCATGCCACTTATTAAGTGTTTTTTTTTTAGTTTTGTTAATGTTCCAGTAGAACTATATTTCCGGAATAGTTTTCTTTACAGAGAATCGCATGAGATACACAAAAGACAGCCTAGACTATAAGATGAAAGAAAGATCAAATATATCAAGAAGCTTCAAAATTCACAATGTATCATACCCTAATGCTTAGACAGTTAGACGACGATAATCATTTTGTGTAGCTAGCTGAAGTTTACGAAGGGAGATCTGAGTTCAAAGACAACATTACAATCACATAAATAATCTGTGTTATCCAAGTGATTAATAAGTGTATTCGTGTTTTAGGAACTCCTACGGTTTAAGCTTTCATATTCGTGACATGAAATATAAAGTAGAACGTAATAATTTAAGTACTGATTCCTATGTATTTGATATGAGTCAAATGTCATGTTTTGGAGTATACTGTATGATGATGTCAAAAATTACACAAAATGTGCTACAAATTAAAATAAAATAAGTAACCTCTAGTAATTTTAACTTTGTTATTTTTTTTTTGTCGTCTTTAACTTTGTTATTATTACAGTCAATTATGAGTATTTATATTTTGTTATAATAATAATTGTAATTTCTGGATATAAATTATTTCTCATTCGATTTAGAAGACTTTTAGTATACTACAAAGTACAAACTACAAAGTATCGATTAATATGTATATATCTACGTCAACAGTAGTAGTATGTATCCTCCATCTTTCCTTTGTGTGACGTGTCGATCGATGATTGGATATATAAAGTGGTGAAATAGACGGCTGTGAATAGTTGTATTGGTTGAGCTGTCGAAGATCGGAGCGGTAACAAGAGGGGACCGTACACGTGCCTATCATCCTCCTCTAGCCTTCCTGCGAGGTTTATTTATTAATTAATTAATTACAAAAAAATATTAAATCTACAAAGTGATAGTGACAAATGGCTACGAAGAAAACGACATCTTCTTGATGCGTTTAAGGTCCCACGTCACATGGGTAGGGGCCCCCCCTAATTTTCTCATTAGTTTTCGTATAAAGAAAGAAGTTACAGTGTGGGCCCAACTTTGGCAATTTGTCAGTACACGAGAATAAGGAAATGAATATTACATTTTAAACACACAGAAAAAAATCACAACATTTAAGAATCACATCTCTTTCTTATATATATTTTTTTTTTTCTTTTAGTTTAAAAATTAACAGTAGCACAGTGACAACGTAAACCCACTTTAATTTGAAAACATTATCATATACTATTCTTTACTTTCAAAATTAAATATCATTTTATAGTTATTTTTTATTCTGAGTCGTCTTAAACTTTCAATATATATTTAATCTTGAAGAGTTTAAAAATTTTAAATTATTTTCTTAATTTACGTCTAAATCATAAACTTATATAATTTAGAATATAATTTCATTTTATTATTTTTAATCATATAAATTTATCATAATTTTTTTATTGAATATAAATATTAAGTTAAATATAGAAAAATATATTTTATTATTAATCTAATGATAATGACATTCGTCAATTTTTTATTATATATTTTCTTATTGAACGTTTTAAAAAACAAAGATTAAACAGTTAGTATTTACAAGCCATCCAAATATTTTAGGATGCAAACTATCAATACAACATATAAACTCAATTTTCCTCTTAATTGCAACTAACATGATGCAACAACATGATAGTACAATAAATCCAGAAATTATAGTTATAAGAAGTAAAAAATAACAACGAGTGTATATAAGCTTTTAAATGGACTGAGTTTTCCAAATTCACAAAAACACATTAATTTTGTGAGTTTCCCAAATTCACAAAACGAGTTACATATACTCATTGTTCAAAATATCGGCTGTCTAATTGGCCGTCTAGACGTTAGGCGATAAGTGACCGCCCCGACTAGGTGCTAGGCGGCGGCTCTTGGTGGTTCTCCGATTTTTCACCGCCTAAAACCGTTCAAGACCGCTTAAAACCGCCTAAAACTGTCTAATTTCGATTAAAAAATAAAATTGTCGCCTAATTTTTAAAAATCAATCCAAAAAATCTCAAAAATTTGAAATTGGCCCAAATTTATTAATAAAATTTCTATATTTTTCTGAAATTAGCCTAAAATCAGCCTTATTATTTTTCTTTCCTAATTAAAAACGACATCACATTCAATACTTAACCAATTAACAATTTTGACGATCTAATTCTTAATTAACAATTTCAATTCAACTAAATTACAATGAAATCAAATCAAAATCAAATATAAGCGAGTTTAAGTTCCAAAATCATATAAAAAGATTAATATAAATAATTAAAAATTAAATATAATATACATTAATCAAAAAATTAATCACCGATTAAACAACGATTAATTACCGATTTTCGACTTAAGCGCTAGTCGGAGTCCGTCCGCCCGTCTACCGCCTGACGATTTTTTGAGCACTGTATATACTATTGTAATTTTCTTATATTTCACACGTGCATTTTCTTATATTTGAACTCGAATTATGACAAATCGACTGTATTAAAAAGTAAAAACCCACTAAAATATAAATTACAGACTATAGTTACTGTTTAAAAAGTATGTATAGAAATAATCCAAGCAATAAAATATAGGAAGATAACAGCACAATAATATAAAAGAAGTAATACAGATACTGTGTATTGTTAAGATCTGATTGCCTCAATTTCAGATGCTATTCATGACGTGAGTAAAGCTTCTGAATGTGTCAGAAGGTTTTCATCATCTTTTGATTTAATACTATTTCTTCGATAGATTCACTAAAAATGATGCCTCATGCTTCCACTTCACGTACGCGCACAATCACGACTGACGACCTTTTTTCTAAAAGCACCTTCATGATTTATCCTTCACATCCAATTATATTTTATTTCCTGATTTTATCCAACTGATAAACTATATATTTCCTTAAAAACTATCACCTTTTTCTTGGAGTTTTTGTTTTTCTTTTGACATATTTTCTTGGAGTTTCCTAAATTCTTATTACTTTCTTTCACTAATAAATTATAGATTTATCTTTTAGAGCTTCTAATACCCTGTTGTAAAACATTTTTATTAGAATTACCAACTCTGACTTTTAAGGATTTTATATCATAGTTTAGGGATTTCAGCTCATGGTTTTTTTTTTTTTTCAACACATGCATTCTTGTTTGTATTATTTTGATATTTTAAAAACTAATCAACAATGATTGAGGTAATTTACAAATCTTATGAATTGCAAAAGAACTCTAAACAATGATTAATTATATATTTATTTCACTTACTGTATATGCGAATGCTATTATATGTTATCGCATGTTATTTAGTAATGTAGTAAAATTATGCGAATGACAGTTTGGTAAACCGAACAAATAATTTACCATTATTAAGATTTCACCACCTAAATGTTAGTCCATAGTTTGGGTATATAGCATATAGCATGCAAAACAACTTAATGACAAAAACTCTTAAATTAACATTTAAACAAACAAAAATCAATGACAAAAACTCTAATTCATGTTTAACTCAAATATAATAACGACGGAATAACTCGTGTACTATATGTACGTTTTGTTGGACTATAATTGCAACTGAATGACAACAACTCTTTAACTCATTTTGTCATTAATAAAAGAGAAATGACGAAACATTATGTGAATGGTAAAAAATAAAAACATCATCCATATAAATCATGTTTTAATGGCAATCTCTATATTCTATTTACAATTAATATTAGATCGAGTATTGAATATAGATAGTTGTTGTCCTTCATTATTTATTTTTTGACTTCTTCATATTTGTCTAAAAATGGGAAAAAAATACTTTTGATGCTTTATAAAAATTAAGAAAGAAAATAGAAGAGATATGTCGTGGTCGTGGGATTAGGAAAGAAAAGATGTCTTTGATGTCCAATCACGTGTTCCCTTTCTCTTCTTCCTTCTTTTGTCTTATTACTTTTATCCCCCATGTTTTCTAAAACCCCTAAATTCTACCCCTACTTTAACAATTTTCACTTTTAGCCGCAAAACCTAGGCTATATCATAATCGAACATTTTATATAGTCAATCTCTATTTGGACCATCGTTTGCCTAAACAAAAATGTACATTACTTGTATTAGTATGCGTGAACGAGTTAGGATTAGGCAAAAATACTTGTTATACGTTATGTATACTTATAATTTTTATTACAAGCAAGATTAGGTCGATAACATGTATCTTGTATTTAATTATCCGATTTGTTAAGGAATGTGGGTACATTTAGATCATTTTTTCAAATTGACTTACATTGACTTGTAGATTCGAATTTAAAGTAGATGAATATGTTTCGTGTTAAATAATGTGGAATGTAAAATATCCAAATCACACAAGTCTTTCATATAAGAATAGTGAAATACCTAACTCAAAATATCCTTATGCTGAGTGCCTTAGTTATCTTATACAAAATATCTAAACATCAATTATAAAATATTTATATACCTAAATATTCAATTCAAAGCAAATTTCTCTTTATAATTTAAACAGAAAATATTGGGGGTAGCAAATCGAACCAAGCTATTTTGCGAATGTTAAAGCTTTATCGAATACACGAAATGCAACTATCTAGATCTTTAGTGTTCAAACCCACATATATTGATAATATAATCTACCAACCATACAACCAAAATAAATACATAATGTGGGTTAACTAATTATTTGGTTTTGTTGTTGACTTGTAATAGGTCTGTTTCACATCTTGGTGTCATCCGAAAGACAGATACATAAAAATTTATTGTTGTTATGAAAATTATGTGGATGTCTTTTATAAAGTTCATCTTCCAAAATATTATAAATTGTTTTTAAGTTTTATTTATCCCAGCAAATAATTAAACTTCTGTATTGTATATACAGTAAAACTTCTATAAATTAATACTCGATAAAATAATAATCATTATAAATTAATAAATTTTGTTGGTCCCAAGTTGGGCCAATGTAAAAATCCATCAAATTCGATAAGATAATAAAATAATAATTTTTTTGAAAACCCTTATGTAAATATATGATCCCAACAAAAACATAAATTAATAATTATATAAATTTATAAAAATATATGTAAATATGATATTCTAAAATATGACTTATGTCTTTGTTTTTACTCAAAGTTGAAATCTTATTGGTTCCCATCTCTCTAATTATTAAATCAGTAGCTTTGATTGTTGTTTTACTATATACATTCAAAATTTGTGATGATTTTTTGATGTGATAATTGATTTTCTTACTTGTAAATGTTTTTAAATGTATTGTAGTGTTATCTTCAATTTTATCATCAATAATATTGATAGTAGCCATGTCTTCTTTATAAATTTTAAACTTATGAACATGTATATTTTTACATGGACAATCTAATATGGTGTTAAAAATCTATTTTATTGCGATAGTTATGATTGTTAATCATAATTTATATTATAAGATTTGTTAAATTTTAAAATATAATATTATTTAAAAAAATTTAAAAAATTATCTGCGGAAAGCAAATTTTTTTTTATAAATTAATATTTATTAATTTATAAATAAATTAATATCACAATAAATTAATAAAATATCATGGTTCCAACATTATTAATTTATAGAGGTTTTACTGTATATCTTTCATTACTCATCGAATAATATACAACATTTTTTTTCTATTTCTATTTTATTCAGGGTTGTAAAACTATTTCCATGTTTTTAAGTCCATGTACTCGCCCAGGCGTAGTTAATATCGAAATTGTTTTTCGTCGACTTCGTTTTACTCTACTATTTAGTTATAGTGAGCGTGATCGTAAATGCGAGAATCGGAGGAAATTTTGATTTTGAATTTCAACAACTAGATACTTCAACTTTTCAGAATAGTTGCTCCAAAATAATTTATTGTATAACATTATTCTCTATTACTCTATCTACTATATATGCTCCCTCGACTTTATTCCCTATCATAGACTCTACTCATATATATATTTAATTTGTCCTTAACCCGATAATCTCAATAAATTAGCCATCCATGGTAAGCTAGGGCTCGATTGTATTCTCTCACGATGGAGACGGCTAACCGACTTTGTAATTAGAATAGAACAAACACTAAGCCAAAAATTGACCTTAAGCTTAACTTTTATATATTTTAATAAAATGTAGAAATATATATACCGAATAGTGATAATTAAATATAGCACAGTGACAGTGTAGTGTAAGGTGTGATCATCGATATGTTTCAGTTGATCTAAATATATTTAGTTTTTCTTATTTTGTAATAATACACTGTTGGTTACACAAACCGAGACAACTCGAATTCGAATCAAATCGAATCTGAACAGGAAACCTAATGATAGCGTTTAAATGATAATCATACCATTTTGAGAAACTTAAGCTCGACACTGCATAAAATTAAGATGGGTATCAAATGAAAAAGGTTTGTCTATTTTCCATGAGTTTTTTTTTCCTTTTTGTTAATTAAAATTTCACCATGGTTTTTATGAGAAAGGTTTATGTATATCCAAGGACGAAGACTTAAGGCGATGAGTTTCATTTACCTATGTTTTGGACCGGGTCTAAACGTTTTTTTTACCAGACAACATAGCAATTACTTTAGCAATTCAAAATAGCGTTATAAATCCAAGTTGTACAAATAATAAAAAATTGGCAGTAAAGAGTTTCGTATCGTCAATTTTGTACCATAGTTATTTTGAGACGATAAAAAACAAAAATTAGTAATAATATCTTAATTACTTTAAATCACTTAATAAAATACAAATAATCAAAAAAATTAAAATGTTATTTTCTATATTTTTAGGTTCCACTCCAATAGTTTTTGTTTTAAAATCGTACCAAAATTTCTTAGCAATGAAATGTATAATTGAATTGTAATCTTTTACGTAGAATCATATCCTACCACCATCTTAATTTGACTAAATAAATTTTGATTTGATTGGAATATTTTCATCTCTGCATGATTCGAAAAATAAAAATCGAATAAAAAACACATGGAAAGATGATAGTAAAAAAAAATAGCATTATTTTGTAAAACAAATTGACTATACCAAGTACTTCAGTGGTTTGTGCATAATCGTTCCGATTAAAATTCGATATACTAAAAAGAAAAAAAAATAGTCACACAAAACAAATCGAACTGAAAAACGGAATCAACAATTATAATGTTGTTATGCTTTATGATTTTTATTTAAGGTTCAAAATTGTATAATTTAGATTTAAAGGGATTGATATTGATTAAAAAGATTCCGTGTTGAAATTTTTACCCCTTTCTCAATTCTCATGATCCTTAATTACAAGAAGTGCACGAAACGCCAGAGAAAGCATAATTACAAATCCACCCTAATTAATTATTTCCCGCCCAGGTTTAACCCTCCTTATTTTCCCATTCACCCTTCAAGTTTGACGATTATTCCAATTTTGCCATCCTCTGTTTCTATCTTCTCCATCGAATTCACAGAGAAGAAACAGAGCATTTAATCCAATCCAAAATCTCTACCCGTTTCTAAAGATTCAAGTCCAGTGATCAACGTTGGAGTACCAGTGTAGAGACGGCGGTTGTTCATCGGAGAAAAAACCGCAAGCTTCTTCTCCACTTAGAAAGTCGTCGTGATCCTCCGCCTGCTCCATTTTCACAAACTGGAAGAAATTACCGCCGGGAACCGTCACCGGAGCCACCGTAACGTTAGAGCTACTTTCCTCGTTTAACACGGCGCTCGAATCGCTGCTGTCTGAAGATCCAGCGGCGGCGAAGGAAGAAGCTGCAGCCTTTAATGGAAGAAGATCACGGAGATCGGTGAAACTCCGGTAATTGAAACTATCGGAATGTTCTAGAAGCTGCGGAGGAGATGACGGCGGTTCTGTCATCTTCTCCGGCAACGAAACTTCTTCCTCCTTGACTGAAATATCACTCTCCATCGTCGCTGCGTTGTTCTCTTCCTCTTCTTCTTCTTCCTCTGCTCCTCCGTTAAGCTTAGATTTCAATTTACTAATCTGCATCGAAACAAACCAAAAAAGTTTCAACTTCTTGAACCGGGATCTCAAAACCGAAATCTAAAGTAAACCGAAATCTAGACTAATCTAATTCTAAAACATCTTAATTGGCAGAAAGTTTCAATTTTTAGTTTGGAACGAAAAAAGTGTAAATCTTTTAGCAACAAAATTGAAATCTTGACCAATCTTCAAGACTGTAGAAGAAGAGGATATATTGACCATTTGAAACATCTACGCAATGGGAACTAAAAAGTTTCAATCTTTTAGCAAAAAGTTTGAGTTTTGTCTTTTCTTTTTTACCTCTTGGAGGAGGGATTCATTGTCACGGCGGAGGGAGTCGAAATTATGGCGGAGAGAATCGTATTGGGTTTTAAGAACACCGTAATCTTTCTCAAGCTGTTTTGTCTTCCACCGTGCACGGCGGTTCTGAAACCAAACAGCTACTTGACGAGGTTGAAGACCAAGTTCTTGAGCCAACTTGACTTTCCTCTCAGGCTCAAGCTTGTTCTCTAACTCGAAATTCTTCTCCAAGGCTTTAACTTGGTTAATGCTTAACCGTCTCTTCTTCTCAGATAAACCGGTTTGTCCTCTTTCCTCAATTATGGCTTCTTCCTCCTCGTAACCTTCAAGCATCGACTGGAACTCTCTTCCGTATCTTCTCGGACTCTGCTCATCTGTGTATAATAAAAGCCAAATTAAGATAATTAAGATGAAATTTAGGGGCTTGATTGGAAATTAGCCAAAAAAAATTTGGTTAATGATTAAGAACCTGTAGAAGTAGTGGGACATAAAGAGATGAGACCACCCACTGAATCTGAGCTGCTTAATCTCTTCATCATCAAACAACACTAAAAAGAAAGGTCTATCTTTAATTACTTTAAAAAGATTAGAATTTTTTGGATTCTCAATTTAATGCATCTAAAGACTTGATGATGTTGTTTCTCTTAACAAAGGAGCAAATTTTTGAAGGAAGAGAGAAAAGAAAAACTAGAAATGCACGGGAATTAAGACAATGGGAGATTCTTCTATTTACAGAGAGAGGAGAGAGAGGAGAGAGAGGAGAGAGAGGAGAGAGAGGAGAGAGAGGAGAGAGAGGAGAGAGAGAGGAGAGAGAGAGGAGAGAGAGAGAGAAGGAGATTGGGTTCTTCGTTTTCCATATGAACAAGCTTGGTTTCACACTTTCTCTCACTTTAAATAAACTCAGCTTGGGTTAGAAATGTAACCATGGTTAAGTAGATATTGTTGGGTGTTCTTTTGGTAAATGAAATTTTTAAAAACCCAAAAAATTGAATGTCCTCGAGTGCAATTTGCGGGCTCCACCGGCTATACCCAGTTACCTCCAGGCTTCTTCCGGTATCACTGGAACTCGAGTGAGGAAAATGAAAAAAACCCAAAAAAAAAAAAAAAACTCAAGGGGAGATTGATGGCTCGGCTTACTCTAATCGGCTCGTTTCGGCTCAGCTCAAAGATGATTTCTTTTGGGATAATCAGAATGCTTCTTTTCGGTAATAAAATGTTAATTTGTTTTTAATCTTATGAAAAAGTCACCATGTAAGTCATTTGAAAATTGGTCATAAACAAGCTCAAGTTATTATCATAATTAGATCATCCAATTTAGATGAGACCATCACAACATTTAAAAAATATTGATCAAATATACAGATGCAAACATGGTTTAATTATCTTATAAGACCATCTTCAATGTATATCTTTATTTTTACATCTAAAATAGAAACATTTTAAAATAAAGGTGTATTTATCTTCAATACATGCTTCTATTTTTACTTCAACCAAATATTTAAGTATATTTTTATTTATTTATTCTTAACATCTTTGATTTATAAAACTAATAAATTAACCTCATTTATTTTATATGTTACAAAATTTCCACAAATTTTAATTATAAACATAAATATTTGTTAGAGAAGTTTTATATTTTATAATATTATATATTTTTAATTTATTCCAAATTTTAATCAAAGTTACACATATATATTCAATCAATTTTTTATAATTATTATATAAATAAAAATATTTTAAATTCCAAAATTTACTTTATAAATAAAATTTTTACTTTTATTATAAAGAAAAAATAAAATCTGTCTATATTTAGAAGTTAAATATAATTTATATTTTAAAAATAAAAACATAAGTAGATTGGAACATATTTTTCTCTAAACTCTATTTTTATCTCTAAAATAAAGATACGTTAAAGATATTCTAAAGAAAATGTAAATCGTAGTACCTTAAATTAGGAATAAATAATTTAATATATGTTTAGGATTTTTTCTTTACTGTAAAACGTTGGTATCAGAATTCTTAATAATTTTTTTTTTGTATATTGCTAAAACCAAGAATGCTTTTGAGATATTTATTTTAATTTTTACACAATCTTTTTGTAATCTACTCATCCCCTTTTTTAAAGCTGTAAATAATTGGATTATGTGCTTTTTATTTGTTTCTCTAATCCATTTTTAAAATTATTATATTAAGTTATGGGGTGATGACTTTCGTGGCAATGCAAAAGGAGACAATAGCTGTTGGCCCTCGATGACAGCAACAAGAGTGAGTTTTTTTTTCTTTTTCTCTTTGGTTTACATTTTTTTAGCTGGGTTTGGTTATTTGATTCTTTCAGCTTATTATAGGTTTCTATAAGCCATTAGTATTAAAATATAAATAATATTGTCTAGATGTAACACCAAAAATTGTATATATAATCAAAATAATTTCCTCTAAATACACATAACTTACCTCATTATTTAATATTTTTCAAACATAAGTGTCTTGACTCTATCTTATTAAGATAATTAAAATGAATTTATATAATTAAGCTGACTCTATCTTGACACAGCTTACCTCTGAATACCACCGATTTTAGTTGAAAATTTACCTTTTAGTGTGAATATAAGGCCTTCTCTCTCTGAGCGATAGTGCGATTAGGGTTCTTTCCTAACCATACCGGCAGCTAGCCCCACGCTAGTCGACGAGAATCCCCCTTTGTCCCCTTCTTCGATTAAAATCTTCAATGGCTTCCCCTTTGGCTGCTCCTCCAGATCCACCCGACCCCTCTTCAGATCCACCCCTTCCCCCTCATCTTCAGTTACTTTCTTCAGATCCAATCCCTCCTTCCGATGTTACTGTTATTCCTCTTGTCTCCTCTGCTCCTGGTGCGATTCCCTCTACCACCGCTCCTTCGTACGCGGCTTGGTTCAAGGCTTCGCTAAGGAACTTAAGAATCTTGGCCCTTATCTCCATCGAGGATGGCTCCCCAGTTGTTCAAGCCCCGGAATCGATTCTTCTCCAAGCTGCTGATTTGTGGAAGGGCCATATCGTTGCTCAATTTCATGGTCTAATTTCTCCTCCGGCAAAAATCTTCCATGACCTAAATCCGATCTGGGGGAAATTTGGCAATATTACAATCCGCACGGTCTCGGATACCTCTTGTCTCATATTCATCCCTTCGGTGCAAACCAGAGAATGAGTTCTTGCAGTGGGATATTGGCAAGCTGCAAACTGTGCTTTTTCTGTCTTCCCGTGGTCCCCTGACGGCAATCTCCATTGCCAAGAGTTGCAGACAGCTCCTACCTGGGTCGTTTTAAAGAATCTTCCTCCGCAGTTATACTCCCTCGGTGGTATTAGTCTTGTTGCCAGTGCTATCGGCGAACCGCTACATACAGAAAAATCCAAGCTCGACCCATATCACTTCGAGGATATGAAAGTTAAAGTAGAGATCACTCTCGACTGCTCCCCACCTGAAGTCGTCATCGTTCGCGACACTCAGGACAACTCGGTGCGTATAAGGGTTGAGTATCCCCGTCTCCCTCCCAGGTGCTGAAATTGTGGTAAATTTGGACATCTCCTCAATAGGTGTCCGATGCCGCTAATGAAAAAGTTGAAGGGCAAAGAGATCCCAAAATTGCTTTCGCCTCTTCTAGAGTTTCTCTGGCCGACCCCCAATTCGTTGCTGAGCTGGAAGAACAACCTACATCTCCCTCTCACCTTAATAAAAAAACGGTTAAGCGGTCCTTAGCTCGAAAAAATCGTCGCGCTAATAGCCCACCACCTTCATCCTCTAATCTGGAGGGTGGGGAGTGTAGTAACTCTGCTTTGGCTCAGGATGCTAAGGAATCTCCGGTCTCAGGTTCGGTTCAAGTGGTCACGGAAATTTCAGATGCTGTAAAGGATGATAAAGTCTCCAGTGTTCAGGTCATTGCTAATGGGGAGGGTTCGGATTTTATTGACCCTCCAGTGGAGCACCCCTCTAAATGCTCTGTCTTGTCTGCTGACCCTCATTCGGAATCAAAATGGGAAATAGTTAAGCGACGCTCTAGGTCTAGTCCGACGAAGAAACCGGCCTTTCAGTCCTTTGGTAAAGCCAAGAGGTTGATTCGCGCTTCAGTGTTTAATGCGGTTTCTGATCCCAAGCCTCCAGATGTCTTTGTGTCTCCCAAAGGCAATCCAGCCCGTATGTCGGGTATGGATGGTTACCTCTGAAAGCATAGCTTTCCCTATATATTTTTTGGTATTATTATGGCGATGTTTTGTTGGAATATACGGGGTCTTGGATCTCTCTCTCGCCAGCGGGTAGTTCGAAACTGGGTCATCCGTAATAGACCAGTTATCGGCAGTGTTTTGGAGACGCATGTAAAGCAGATGGATGCGCCTCAAATTTTTTCATCGGCCTTTCCAGGTTGGAGATTCGAAAATAATTATTCAGCCGCTGATAACGGAAGAATCTGGGTCGTTTGGGATCCGGCGGTCTCGGTCATAGTGTTCTCTGTAACAGACCAAATGATGGTGTGCAATGTAAGACTCCCTGGTGTTACTACCTCCTTTGTAGTCACCTTTATCTATGCTCGTAACTGTGTAGTAGAGCGTCGAAGGTTATGGGCTGATATTTGCTTTCTCCACTCCGATCATCCAATGAGTTTGACCCCTTCCTTGTACATCGGAGACTTTAATCAAATTCTTACCTCAGATGAGCACTTTTCTGTAAGGCATTCTAATCTTCCAATAAGAGGTATGGAAGAGTTGACATCTTGTTTAGAGGATAACAGCCTCACTGACATTCCGTCTCGTGGCGCTTTCTTTACGTGGACTAACCTACGCCCTGAGGATCCCGTTCTCAGAAAGTTGGACCGGGCTGTGGTTAATGAAGCTTGGTTAAACGCCTTCCCCGATTCTGTTGCTTTGTTTGACCCTCCTAGCGACTCTGATCATTCTCCCTGTATTGTGCATCTTGCTGCTCCTGTCCAGGGCGGTAAGAAGAGCTTTAAATACTTTTCATTTATCTCCACTCATCCCTCTTTCGCATCATCAATAGCTAGAGATTGGAATGGTGTGGAGTTTGTCGGCTCTAAATTGATCACCTTTGGAAAAAAACTAAAAGCCGCACAACTGTGCTGTAAAGCTTTGAATCGTGAGGGCTTCAGCAACATCCAGCAGCGTGCTCAAGATGCTCTCACTCACCTGGAGGAAGTGCAGAGCAGGTTAATGTCCTCTCCCTCTCATGAAGTGGTTTTGGAGGAATGTGAGGCGCAGAAGAAGTGGATTTTTTTCTCTAATGCCTTAGAGAACTTCTACAAGCAAAAATCTCGTATTCGGTGCCTTAGTGAGGGAGACCAAAACACTAAGTTTTTTCACAAGTCCGTTCTTGCCCGTCAATCTCACAATCTTATTCGTTCTCTGAGGTTGGAGGATGAAACAAGAGTGGAGAACCAGGACCAAATCAAAGATCTCATTGTCTCATATTTCCAGAATCTCTTCGGCTCTGTTAATAGAGATGTTGTCCCTTACTCAGTTGATGCGCTTAGGTCCATTCACCCCTTCCGATGTTCTTCTTCTCTGGCCTCCATGTTAGTCGCTGTTCCATCCGATGAAGAGATTAAGAAAGCTCTTTTCTCTATGCCTAAGAGCAAAGCACCGGGGCCAGATGGTCTGCCAAAGGAGTTTTTCGTGGAGGCTTGGGAGGTCGTTGGTGATGATTTCATTTCTGGTGTCAGGGAATTTTTCTTATCCGGGGCCCTTCCTAAGCGCTTCAACCACATTTCAATCACTCTGATTCCCAAGATCACAGGTGCTGATATGCTTAAGCAGTTCCGACCAGTTGCCTGTTGCACCACCGTTTACAAAGTCATATCCCGTCTCATTACTGCCAAACTCAAGCTTTTTGTCCCCTCATGTGTTCAAGGGAATCAAGTCGGCTTTTTGAAGGGTCGCCTCCTCTGGAGAACGTTTTGCTTGCTTCAGAATTGGTTGCCAACTTCGATAAAGCTGGTCCCTCCTCTCGCGGGTGCTTACAGATCGACTTGGAAAAAGCTTATGATAATCTCAGTTGGCCATTTTTGTTGAATCTATTACACGCCTTTGATCTTCCTCCAGTGTTTATTCGGTGGATTGAGGCTTGTTTTTCATCTCCGACTTACAGTGTTTCTTTTAACGGCGAATTAATTGGTTTCTTTCCGGGAAAGAAAGGCATCCGTCAAGGGGACCCCATTTCTTCTCTCCTTTTTGTCTTGGCAATGGATGTATTATCCAAGAAGATTGATCAGGGTGCTACTTCTGGAGCATTTAATATTCATCCGCATTGCTCTTCGCCGCTAGTCACTCATCTAAGCTTTGCAGATGATGTTCTCATTTTCTTCGATGGCGCTGTCTCTTCTTTACAAGGGATCTTGGATATCTTGGATGAGTTTTACCTTGCCTCTGGTCTTCGCTTAAGCAGGGAGAAGACTGCGGTGTTCATTGGCGGCGGTGACCTCTCTGTTGGGAGACAAGTTGCAAATTACTTTGGGCTCCAACAGGGATCCTTTCCAGTTCGTTACTTAGGGGTCCCTCTAACGTCTCAGAAAATGCGTAGGCAGGACTTTCAGCCTCTGTTAGAGAAGATCTCCAAACGATTTTCAGCATGGACCACTCGCCATATGTCTTTTGCTGGCAGGTTACAATTGATCCAGTCCGTGATTTACTCTACGATCACCTTTTGGGCTTCCGTTTTTGTTCTCCCAAATAAATGCATTGAAGCTCTGGAAAAGATGTGTAATGAGTTCTTGTGGAAAGGAGCCCCAAACTCTGCAAGAGGGGCGAAAGTCTCTTGGGATTCAGTATGCTCACCAAAAAAATCTGGGGGTCTTGGTCTTCGAAGGTTATCTGCTTGGAATAAGGTTTTGGGGTTGAAGCTTATTTGGCTTATTTTTTCAGCGGGTGGATCCTTGTGGGTGTCGTGGGTTCGATGTAATCTCATTGGGACAGCAAACTTTTGGTCTCTTGACCCAGGAGTCTCATCTAGCTGGATTTGGAAGAGCTTTTGCAAGCCGAGACCCTTGGCTCGTCAGTTCTTAATCTGTCAAGTTGGATCGGGTATTACAGCGAGCTTTTGGCACGACGATTGGACCGGATTAGGTCCCCTACTCGATGTGGCTGGTCCCAATGGTCCTCGGGTCACGGGGATCAGTATTTCAGCTGCCGTGGCGGACGCCATGAACCACGATCAATGGCGCATATCCTCTTCTCGGTCGCGTCACCCCATTATCTCCATGATCAAAGCCTGCCTTCCACCTGCTGAGGGTATTGCAGAGTCAGAAGTTGACGACCTATATCTATGGAAGTCGACTAATGGCGTCGGCAAGGATTCTTTTTCTTCTGCGATCACTTGGGCTATTCTACACCCATTGGAACCGGAGGTGGACTGGTTTGCGGCCGTATGGTTCAAAAACAGAGTTCCAAAGCACGCTTTTATAACTTGGGTTGCTGCTCGGAATCGTTTACCCACTCGCGATAGGCTAATCAGCTGGGGGCTTAATGTTCCTTCCTCCTGCCTCTTGTGTAACTCTGCGGATGAATCTCGGCAACACCTTTTCTTTGATTGCAGATTCAGCCAACAGGTTTGGTCCTTCTTTACACAAAAAGCACATCTTAATCCTCCTTCCTTATTTGAGGATGGATTGAGATGGATGAAGGACCCTCCTTCACAGGCGAATGTTGCTCTTATCTTCAAGTTTATATATCAAGCTTCAATATACCTCATTTGGAAGGAAAGAAACTCACGTCTGCATTCTAATCTGGCTCGCCCTCCTTCTGCTCTTATTGAAGACATCTCAAAGACTATGCAATGCAGACTTGATCCATTGTCCCGTGCTCAGAGAAACCTTCCGTCAACGGTCTTCTATCTTACCACTTGGTTCTCTATATTTCAGCCGCCTTGATTGTGGTTTTTATGGGTTTTTATTGTCTTGTTCTTTTTTGGGCCTTCGGGGTTTTTATCCTGTTGTAATCTGCTTTTATTATGAATGAAGTAACCATTTAAGGAAAAAAAAAAGAATTTATATAATTTGATCTGTTCTTTTAGGTGATGCTGATATCAGCGACATGCGACCAAAAATTTAACGTAAACAGTGATAACAATACAGTAAAAAAAAGTGATACTGCAACTACTTATACAATGACGTTGGTGACGCTGAAAAAAACATCGGAATAGCATTGCGGTTGCTGTTATGACATGCTCTCCACAAATTTAAGCCATAAATAACTTATAATTAGAGCTTTTTACTCTGTAGGTACCACTAATACAGCGTCACCTAAAAGAAATAAAAATGATTTGATTCAATACAAATATTACTACAATTCCATTGAAAATATAGAATAATTTGATACCACGATTCTTATAAAATAAACACTAACGAGAGGTTTGAATTTGATGAATTAAATCATTATCCAATCAAAATTGTTTGTTTAATGAAACTTAAATATGTAAATAAGATGGAGTCAAGGCACTTACCTTCACCGATAAATGATGAGATCAAGGGGGATTTTGTGTTCCCACCTAATAGGACATCGTATTAATTCAAAACGACGCCATCACTGAGTAGGGAGTCCTCGTGCTTATCCATAAAAAGAAGGGAAATAAAAATATCTAACAAAAACTGCCACGTCAGCAGATAGCGAGAGAAAGATCACCGGCAAAAAACACAGTGATTCTATGGCGGTGGTTCACTCTCTTCCAAACTCGTCGTCTCTCTCATGAAAATGGCGTCGCTTAATCTGCGATGCGACTCGACGCATCTTCTTCCTTGCCGGTAATCAATTCAATTTCTCCGGCTTTGTTTGTATATCTACTTCGCAATTTCGATCCCTGCTTGTGTGTGTGTCGCGATTCGAATTGATAGGTTTTGATTAGATTTGTTTACTATTCGGAATTGGCGAATTCGAGATAAGTTGAATCGCTGTTTCTTAGAGGTTGTGGCTTTAGGTTTTCGATTGATTGTATATAGTCACGGCTCATGTGTATGATGATGTTTGTCTCCATGATTTTGTAGTGATGTTAAGAGAAGTATACCATTAAGAAAGACTTGGATGTGTCCTAGGATCATATCAAAGAGGTTCAATGTGAGAATGGGAGTGATGTCTGAGGAAGGAGATGTCTTCTCTTCCTCTAAGACTAAGAGTAATGGATCAATGGGGATTGAGACGCAGCCAGATTTGGTTTCGTTTGGAACATTAGCAGCAGAAATGATTCCCACAACAATGGTTTCATCTGAAGTTGAGGATGAAGAGTTTGATCTAGATCGGCCTATTGATGGATTTGCCTCTATTCCACAAGCTATAGAGGATATTCGACAGGGAAAGGTTTGTAAGAGTAGTTGGCTTTGCCGTCTTAGAAGGAGAGGATCTTAAGTGAAAGCTTTGTGTTGTTTTTTTGTTTTGTTTTGCAGTTGGTAATTGTTGTAGATGATGAAGACAGAGAAAACGAAGGAGATTTGATAATGGCGGCATCGTTGGTAACACCTGAAGCTATGGCTTTTGTGGTGAAGCATGGGACTGGAATCGTGTGTGTGAGCATGAAAGGCGAAGACTTGGAGAGGTTGGAGCTTCCATTAATGGTTACGCGAAAGGAGAACGAGGAAAAACTCCGCACGGCCTTCACGGTTTCTGTGGTAAGTAAAAAATTCGCTTTTTTTCTCTCCTAATGTTGAAACTACTACAGGACTCTTAGTGTTGTTTCACAATCTTCTTCAGGACGCGAAAAGAGGAACATCGACAGGTGTCTCAGCTCGTGATAGGGCACAAACAATATTATCCCTTGCATCTAAAGATTCAAAGCCTCAAGATTTCAATCGTCCTGGTCATATCTTTCCTTTGAGATACAGAGAAGGTGGTGTTCTTAAAAGAGCAGGGCATACAGAAGCCTCTGTTGATCTAACTGTGTTAGCCGGTTTAGAACCAGTATCGGTTTTATGTGAGATTGTAGATGATGATGGCTCCATGGCTAGACTACCAAGACTCCGCCAATTTGCTCAAGAGAACAACCTGAAAATAATTTCAATCGCTGATTTAATCAGGTACAATACAACTCACATCAATATCGGCTACTGATTTGCAGATTAGGAACTCTCAACTTTCTCAGTTAACTGATGTTTTCCTCTTGATTTCAATTGCATGCTTTGTCTGGCAGATACCGAAGGAAAAGAGAGAGACTGGTAGAGTTTACTGCGGTTGCGTCTATACCGACAATGTGGGGACCATTCAAAGCTTATTGCTTCAAGTCATTACTTGATGGAGTTGAGCACATTGCAATGGTCAAAGTAATCATATAAACCCTAATTCAAAACTCGTTCTTTGTTTCCTCGAAAATTTCTTACTTATACATCAAAACACAGGGAGACATTGGTGATGGGAAGGATATTCTGGTGAGAGTACACGCGGAGTGTATCACGGATGATATATTCGGAAATGGCTCTGGTGGAAAACAATTAGCGATTGCTATGAGACAGATTGAAGAAACTGGGAGAGGTGTTTTTGTCTACTTACGTGGTCCTGAAGCCAACGGCATTGACCTAACTCACAAGCCTCGTACTTATGACAGCAATTCAGATCACACCGAAGGGGTTTCATTTCCTGTTGCTTCAAGAGAATACGGCATTGGAGCACAAGTAACTATCTTTATTGAAAAAAATCGAATCTTTTTACTGTTTTTTGATAAGTGCAGAGGTTTAATCGAAGATTTGAAATGATTGTGGTGTAGATTCTGAGGGATCTTGGAGTTAGAACAATGAAGGTGATGACGAATAATCCGGCAAATTACGTTGGTCTTAAAGGCTATGGTTTATCAATCTCTGGTAAGGTTCCACTCGTTAATCCCTAACTCTTAGGTGTTTAATGCGCGCGGGAAAAATGGAGCCGTTATTTTATTCTGTTAAGATAGAACACGTGTCAGCTTAGTTATGGTTTTGGCGACTAAACTGTGTCATCCGATTTTGTACTGTAATTTTTTTCCTCCATAATTATCATCAATGTAGCTTGAAGAATATTTTTTCCAGAATCCCTTTTTTTTTCTTCTTTTTTCCCTCTTTTTTATCACTTATCGCGAGTTTACATATATGTTGTTAATCAGAATCCTGTTTTCATAATCAAGTAAAAACAATCTTGAAATAAATAAATTATTGTTTGGGAATTGGGATGATTTGTTTTGGAAGTATTATTTTGTAGTATATCTCAACTAAAAAATATACATTATTCTGAACTTTTGTATACTTAGTCTCAAGCCTCTCCTTAGTCCTTTACATATTTTGTTATGGACGTCAGATAATTAACCTTGGTCGCCACTCGTCAGAGAAGAAAACATAAAATAGAGAATATAACAAAACAGAGCATATAAATAAACAATTCACTAAGCTCGAGCACCGATTAGTAGCACGCTCCTCCCCACTTAACCCTAGTTTCTCTATTCCTTTCGAGGTGACTCTACTTTACATCATTAGATTTTTTCACGCTTGTACCGTACTGTTTCGTTGTTCCTTTTCTCATGGCGATGGCCAAAGCTACAGCATTGCTCCCATGAATGTGTGCTGACCTCTCTGGAGCTCGTTGCGGACGGCATCTGCAACATGTGCTTCAAAGATGAACCTATAGAGTTTCCCTGTAACCCTTGTAATTTCGATCTGTGCAAAGCTTGCTCGAAGATACCACAGAAGGTATCTCATGATTTCTACCCTAAGCACCATATAGAGTTTTGTGTACGCAATAACGATGGGAAAGTGTGATCTTGGACAAAGTTGCCAAGCATGCGGAGATCATATCGATGGTGCCCCGTTTGGTGACTCAGAATGCACAAGTCTCATCCCCACAAGTTGACTTATGCAGCTAGTGTCCATTATTATCAGGCGAGCAACGACATGTGTCAAATATGCTTGAGAGATGTGAGTTATGGTGGTGACCCTTGATTTTACTGCGTGGAGTGTCGAGTGAAGTTTCATATCGATTGTCTTGGGATACCAAAGTCTATTGTCAAGAAATGTGATCACATTCATCCACTTGTGTATAAACGATAGGATTATTGTTTAGAGTATTGCAGCGTTTGCCAGACAATGGTACACAGAAAACATCATGTATATTCATGCCAAGAGTGTGATTTTGTTGGCCACATCGAATGCGTTTTATCCGAGGTAATTAATTTTGTCAACTTTTCCCGCTTTGGATTACTTCATTTTGTCGTTTCTTTTTCCTTGATGATGATGATGACATACTCTTACTCAAAATCAACAGAAAGCCTCTTCCCCATTGTACTTGAAAGATCTGTATTCTTGTTGCAGCGACCACATGAAGAGGCCAACAGATCAAGAAGATTGTGAAACAAGACACTTGGTATGAATCTATACTATATAACCCACACTTGGTTGGAAGATTTTTGATGTTTTCTTATGTCTATGTTGCAGCTTAATGATATGATGCATACTCATGTGCTGACATTGAGCGACATTAAGAAGTCTCGTGTATTATGCGATATATGTGATCAGGGATATCCTTGATAGACCATGGGAATGCGAGAAGACCTGTGGATTCAAGGCACATGATAACTGTGTAAAGCTTGGGAAACCATCAAGGCATCGATTTCATCCCAAACATCCTTTGATACCATTGTCTGATCTCCCTTCAGGTGTTTATATGAAGTGCAATCACCTGCAAAATGAAGATATGTGGCTACAATCTCTTCTGTCGCACGTGCGACTATATCATCTGTACCAAGTGCATGGTAAGTGCTAAGATGCTTCATGGTGAATTACATAGAGGACATAAATTCATTGGAACCGTAGAAACAAGATGCTTCAGAGAGAGGCATTGCTTAGTTAAAGTTATGGTATCGAAGTCATATTCGGTGGCTTGCACCATTTGTGATCAGAGGCTGTGCTGAAATTTTTTTGTCTTGTGTCACATGTGAAGAGATTTATCATCATCTGTGCATTGAAAGTGTAATACAAGAGCGAATCCAGTCATCCTTTTCATTCTAATCACATACTAACGAGTGGATCCAAGTGAATTGCTTGTAAACAGAAGGTAAAAAAGTATGGCTATACATGTTCCACTTGCCATACTTTTTGGTAGATACGAGCAGTGATGACAAAGACAGTGATACTTCTTAGTTAGGTTTCCGTCTCTGAAACTAAGCTATGCTACACTTCCGTTATCTGAGAGGCTATACCTCAAAACCTCCCTTTTGTTGTTTCTTATGTATAATATTTACTCTCCGCTTGGTGATTTGGGACTTTGCAATATGTTTAAACACATAATATCTGTGCTAAACACATATTTAGAGATGAGACCATTATTTATGTAATGATAGCAACAAGGTGAATCAACACTTAAAAAACTCGAATCAATGGAGTATCGAATTGGTATGTAGATTACATACAAAAGCCAGAGCTAAAGCCAAAAGCTTCAAGCACGACTCAAAAACAAGTTCTTTTTTCTCTCGACCAAAGAAAAGAAAAAGAAAAAAAAAAGGGAAAGAAACTTAAAAAACAGAACAGTTATGTACGATCATATCTTGATCGGTAATAGAATCAGACCGATGATGGAACGAAGAAGATACTGAGTTCTTGTCCGATATTCCCAGCTGGATCAATCAAATGGAAAGCTTCAGATTCTTTAGAACCACAAACTCTTCTGAAACTAGCTCTCAAATACATCAGCTCATCATCAAACCTGCCAAGTTCTTTCCCGGTCACAACTCCGGCTCCGACCACCACCTTACTCAGAGCAGCCAACGCCGCCACGTCATCCTTCGACGGGCTACGTTTTCTCGCATACCCAACTCTTTTCCCGTTACAAAACATATTCCAAAACGGCGTCGACAAAACAGAGTCTTCTTCGTTGTTGCGTTCCAACACTATACGCAACGCTCCTCCTCTCATTTCTCGAGCCAATACCGTCGTTGGCACGGCAAGCTCGAGAAGAAGATCGAGGTTTGTCGATTTTCTCGGTGTTTGGATGCAGAAATTGATTTTTCCTTTACGGTATCCGAAGATTGTTCCTGTGACTGTGGATGAAGAAAGGGAAGAAGAGGAACGGAAAGAGGAAGTGCGTGATTTGATGTCGTTGTAGAGTTTCTTGCCACTCAAGTTAGGTTTTTCTTGTTTGAGTTCTTGGATTAATGTGGAGTTGCAAGTTGGAATTAGAAGCTTGATGACTGATCGTAGGAGACGCCATGATTGGACTTGTTTCTGGCAGTCCACGGTTGCTACCACCGTCGATTGAAACTCCATTGAAGCTATGACTTTGGTTTTTGACATTGTTAATGCTTGTGAGAAAGCAAAAAAAAAAAAAATGGAAAAAGAAGAAGAAGAAGAAGCTTGAGGATTTGGTGTTGAAGTGTTATAGGGTTTAAATAGGGAAACAGAGGATGAAGTTTACGTACGAATGCCTTTCTAAATATTCCACTATAGTATTATTTTACTTGTTTAAAAATTCGATTTTGGTTTTATTTATTTGAAAAAGGTATTTTTTATGTTTGGGTTATGAGAGACAATTTTTGAGCTCCGATTTGTAAAGTGTGATTCGTGTTGGGTTTTTGTCATTCACCCAAAAGATTCTTTCAGAATTGGTGGAACTACTATCTAGTACGTACTATTTTGTATATTTATTGTTGCAAAAATGAGTATAGAACCTGGTTGTTAAATAATTGGGGGTTTTTTTTTTTTTTAAATAATTGGGTTTTGATCTTGAATAATTGTTTGACATTTCTTTTTGTTGCAGTACTTGTTAGATACTATTTCATGAGGAATTTTACATAAAAAAAAATTAAAGACCTAAATCAAGTATACAAAGATTAACGAGGTATTTCGTAATTTGTATCAGATTGCATGCGTTCATGATAAAAATCACCAATTTTAACATAGTAATAGACTACATTAAATTTAAACAAGTCTATGAGTCTCACATCAACAAATATGATGAGACATGTGACTTATGTTTAGTCATTGTTACAAGGTATAGTAAATTAAAATCCAAATTGAATATTGAGAAGAAGAAAAAAATTAGACATATTTGCATATATAGACACTTTTTGAACTTTCATTAGTTTTCTAACAATTTCTTTAAGTCTTGAACTCAGCTCTATACCACTGCTGGAGGTGCAAATGCACTGGGTCCGCCCAACTTTAAAAATTATACAAAGCTCAATGGTTTTTTTTTTTAATTGAAAAAACAAAAAACCTATGATATCTAAGCTTCCTTGACTTTATGCTTCTTGAACAATGTTTTTTTAATCAGTATTGTAACAAAAAAATTTGGTGTATTTAGGCCCATTTTTCTTTACAGCACCGGGTCTCGCCGAGGTTTTAGCCGGCGCTGCTTGAACTTCACTAGGATCAAGATACATCGGAGTAGTATCATTTAGTTATATACTAAATATTACACTAATTAACATATAATCTTTTGCTGTTTAACATGCTGGCTGATGCACACGCGTATACTTAATGGGGATAACGATACATACAATCATTGTTGTTAACATGATGCACACGAATTGTCGCTCTTAACTTTATGATAGAGATATAATTTAGAGTGGAATAACGATAATAGTCTGTACAATTGTATGTATACTCACGTATAAATGTATTGTGTATATACAATAAAGTATTAATTTTGTTAAAATGTATATCCGACCACATGTATCGAACTATGGGTGACGTTGGAATACACATTTTAATATTGGCATACATATCATCAATTGAAAAAGGAAAAGAAAAAAAAAAGAGAAAAAGAACAAATGGAGTAATCCAAAAAAATACAGATTGGATGAAATAATTCCCTGGTAATAATAAACATTTCCGCCTTTTGCCTTTTCACCTGCTAAACATTATTTAAGTAAAATGAAACCATATACAATAACAAAAAGAAAGAAAATTTAATTATATATATCCGCACGACAGGAAAAGTTGTATAATTGCATAATGATTAGACCATTAGATCTCTACCACTTTCATTACAATCCAAACATTTAAATATTACTTATATTTTATTATGTCTATTGGAAGATTAATCATTTAGCACTTC